AGTAGTAGTAGTAGTGGCCGCAGTAGTTTGGAAACTGCAAGAAGAACCACAACTTCTGTCGGTGCCCATCCAGCCTTAAATCCCACACCCAGAAAACCCTAAACCCTAAACCCGAAACCCTTAAAACCCTTAAAACCCTTAAAACCCTTAAAACCCTCAAAACCCTCAAAACCCTTAAAACCCTTAAAACCCTTAAAACCCTTAATACCTTGCTCAGTTTCCCGCTCCATCATCTGGCTCGTGAGCAGGGCCACGGCCTCTCAAAGGACTTTCCCAGGTTCCGTCTGGGCTTTGTGGGCCTTGGCCTCACATTGACCAGGGTGCAAGTTGAGAAAAGAAGCAAAACGGCAAAGATGTGCGAAAAGCTGCCGCTTCTATTGGCACCACACCACTGCTGCTGCTGCTGCTGCTGCTGCTGCTGCTGCTGCTGCTGCTGCTGCTGCTGCTGCTGCTGCTGCTGCTGCTGCTGCTGCTGCTGCTGCTGCTGGCACTGCCACCCCGCCCCTCGTCTCTTCATCACTTCGGGCGAGCCTCTGGTGGGTTCGCAGGTCAGAAAAGAACCCAGACAACCTTTATGGGTGTGGACAGGTGGCCACGGTGGGACATGCGCGCCGCCAAAGCTCTTCCAGGAAACGTTTGTTGGCTAATGCGAGCTCCAAGAGCTCCAGGTGCAAGCCAGGCGCACTGGCCTCTGGGTGATTCAGCCGCAGGCCTCTCGCCAAGCGCCTCTGCGCGAGCTGCCCCGCCTGTCCGGCTTAGTTCAAGGTTGAGGGTAGCCACATCACCTTCGAAAGCAGACGTGGAGGTGGAGGTCGGAGTGATGCTGGCTCTGGCACTCTAGCCGGCTTCATAAGCGGACGAACTTCCAGCAGTGCAGGTGTCGCGAGATGATAATTGAACTACTTAATGTAGGTATACCGAGAATCTTCGCGACAACAAGAACTGTGCTCGTCATTGTAAATTACAAGTGCAACTGCACGCATCGTCGTGATCATCATCATTGTCATCATCATCGTCATCATCCTCATCATCATCATCAGCTCATGTACCAGCGACGTGTCAGTGTGGCATGACAATCATTGCCATCAGTCATTCTGACACTTTTCGGGCTCGCGTTTACTTGCATGCAGAATCCGAAATTAGTACTGGCCAGGCAAACTTACGATGGACGGGCAAAAACAAGTATGGTCATGGCATTCGCAGCATTCCCGAATTCCCTCAACCTCCCAACCCCAGGCCGAACACAGGAAACCTACAGTGTTACTGTACACCCAAAACCCTAACTTCAAGTTGAAAGCGAGAACCCTGAAACATCCCCTGAGCTGAAAGCCCCACTTCAAAGTCAAAGCCCTAAGCGCTATTAACACCCTTGGCGCTTAGTCACCTCTCCGTCCTTGAGTGCTTCACGGCTGCGACTTCAATGCTGTTCAATGCTCTTTCAGGAGAAACAGTAATCGTAATGGTAATGGCGAGAACCAGTAGTAACCGTGAAAGCAAATAACAGCAATAGTAGTAGGGATCCTAGTCCTGCTCCTGACAACACCCGCTGCCTGCGACAAGCGCAAGTGATCTAGCTCTCGTGGAGTCAGCCTGGCTTCTTAACTCCGAACATGTGACATGGCTTCGACCGATGCCTGTTCTCAGTTAGCACCAGGATTGCCAACACTGACACGTCTTGTGCTTATTGCTTTCGGTTTCGCATGCTTTCCGGCTTCTACTTGCATTTATGTAAAGCCAGCAATGCCCAGCAACTATAAGGTTAGTAAGCTCTTCTAACGAATTCGCAGATCATCTACCTTCACGTGTACAGCTCACGGTAATAAGCCTGAATTCTAAGAAGAGTATCACTGACAACAAGTGGCACTTGCTTATAGCTTGGCAACATTTAGCAAGTTCGTGGTGTAAGCTTTTCAAAGCCTGCGGCTTGACGTATATTGATGCCAGAAAGACTGACACTCCACCAAACCCCGAAACCCTATACCCTACACATATCCCTGTACTTGTCCCGATGCCCGGCAAAGCCACACAAAGCCCAACTCGGCCCCTGACTTCATCCCACGGCGCTGCTCGGACCAGGGCAGGGCCTCGGAGCTACGGATGTCCCTAGGGGCCTGAGTAGTTAGAATAGGCCCTTTAGCTCAGGGTCCAGAGTTTAGCGTTGTTCTGTCCCCGTGTCTTTAGCATCGTCAGCATAGTCATGGAGTGCAGAACGACAATCCAAGTACAGTGGCAACGGGGACGACAACGATTACTCTCGCCCACGCTGCCCTCGCTCTATTCCCTGCTACTGCTACACCTGCTGAAGTGGGACACCCCGCTACAAGACAGCTGCAACTACCGTTGATGGACAAAATTCTGCATGACCCAAATATAGTATAGTACCATAAACCCCATAGTTTAGGTATATAAATATTATATAAAGTCATGCAGGATTTTGTCCATCAACCGTATGTCCAAGATTGGACCCTGGGGTCTCTAAGTTGCCCAACCTTGAGAAGCTGCGCCGCAAACTTTCCCCATAAATCAACCCTAGACCCTGAACCCTATGGGGGTTTCCGAAGATTAGGGTACCTTATTTTGAGGTCCTTATAATAAGGATCCTATTATTTAGGGTAGTATATTAGGGTCCCCTATTTTCGGAAACTCCCATATACTAAACTCGAAACCCCCAAACCCTACGCCCCTAAACCAGCATTTCTTGAGGCTGGCGCCAGGCATCTTGTCAGAGGTGCTGAAGATGTGGGGCACCTCCCAGTCATGCTCGCTCCAGATTTGTACGGACGCGGGCTGTTGGGCAAAAGAAACTTGGTATAATGTACTATACTGTACCATACCATACCATACTGTACTATATAACACAATATAACATAATAGAATAGAACATAGTATACTATAGTACAATGAAAACTTAACATCGTATCATGAGTACAGGCCGCTTTTTGGGCCCAAGAAGACTCTAGCGAGTGTCATTTCCACCCGACAAGGACATTGCAGGCGGACGTTCTCTTCATGCCGACGCCGCGAGCAGCTTTACGTTCACAAGTGCGCACTCTAAACGCTTGAGGGTGGAAAGCTGGCTTCAGACCCTCTTGGAGAATGGAACAGGCAAACTGCTACAGGTAAGGCCACGGTCGCAGTCTCAGCTGGGTCGACTTCTGGCTACAAAACCCAACACTTTCTGGTTTAGGGCGTCGAACATCCAGGACTTTGGGCTTAGAGTCGAGAGTTTCGGAGTTTAGAGGTTGAAGCCTTGTGCCGTGTTCCGGAGTGTTTTGCCGCAGCAACGTACGGCCAAGGAAGGTTTCCTTCAGGCTCGGGTTCGCGGAAATCTGGGAACATGACCACATTTCAGTCAGCACCTCACGACAGCACGTGACAGGGTTCTTCCCAAACGCAGCGCGCGCATGGCGGCCTCAGGATAGGGCTGCAGGACACATGTCAATTGAAATCACAAGGTCAAGCAAAGTTCAGCCCACGACGTCTGCGATGACTGAGGAGCTACAGAAGCTTCTTTGAGCTTTCCAGCTACCCCCAGGGTTTTACGAGGCTCGCTTTGGATCCTGGAACCGGCGGTGCAAACCGATCATGTCTTGTGCTGATTCCTGGATTGTGCCATCCTACGCTGTCGTGTCGAAAGTAACAAGAAGTCAGCATCACGTATATTAGGGACATGAGGGCATGGTATTCTTAATCATGAAGCCCCTACATTAAAGTGGCGTATTCCTACACCCCTCACCCCAAAAGCAGGTGACGCCGTGGGTGGCAACCGCACCTGGCGCATCCTGGCACGTGGCGGATCGCGCTTGATGGCTTAGGGGGTTCGGGGCTCTTAGGGCTGTATATAGAGCTTCGATGATTTAGTCCTGCGCTCTGGGCCTTGAGTTTGGGATTGAAGTTCAGGGTTTCGGGACTGAGCTGAGGTCTGGGGATTTAAGATCTAGGGTTCGGGGATTTTGCGTGGGGCCCCTCACAAACCGCAAACATCTCCTAGCACCAAAACTGAGCCCTTGAGCAGAAGGGCTAAGGAAGCACACCATCCTATACAGGTATGCATACGTACACATTGAATTGGTGTGTATGTATATATGTATATTATCTACATAACTGCATGTACGAACCCATATGCATAAGCCATTCAGATATGATATGTGTATGCATGTACATATGCGTATATATACATATGTATATATATATATATGTATGTATGTATGTATGTATGTATGTATGTATGTATGTATGTATGTATGTATGTACCACATACACGTACATATGTGCGTGGACATAGACACGGACCTACACGCAAACATGCACGCAGGTCCAGGTGCAGATGCATATACAGAAGACATGCATGCACATATACATACAGAGATACAAAACATCTACATATACATATACATATACGTAGTACATGTATATATGGATATAGAGTGTGGGTCAAGGTTTAACTACTACGATTAGGAGAAAAACAGCGAGCCAACCTCCCCTTGCATCGCGAGGGCGGCTTCGGGAAGCGGAAGCAGCCGGCGCCACCGGCGGAAGAGGTGGGGAGTCGCATCGTTTGAGGGGGCGTTTCGGGGATTCACAAGCCCAGAAGCCCTTAACCCAGAGTATATAAATCATGGGATGCCAGGAACGTAAACCTTCAACTTTCGGCTTTGGCCTTGTAGAGAGTTGAGGGTCTGTGTTCCGGGTGTTCATCAGAGTCTCTTCGCGCCTCAGAGGTAGCTGCCGCAGGCCTTCTTAGGCCTACAGGTTTCTCTCCAATAGACGCGTTGAGGGTATAGTTTTAGACTTCAGCGCTCCCGGAAGATCCCGATACCCACTTGTTTAGATATGCTCTTTCAAGTCGGTAGGGCTTCCTAAACCCTGAACCCTATGTTTATTATTGAACTGTTCAGAATATTCCTGCCTTGGGCTCCCGGGCTTCGTTTCCATCTCGGAGCTTTATCAGAGCCATCCGGGATGACGAGTATCACCTCATCTTACAGTAGAGGTATTGGTTTGTCTGCCTGTCATTTTCCGTATAAGTACAGAAACAAGTGTGTAGATATAAAATCGCACTTTGTGTTATACACGTAACATCTATCTATCGCGATTCTACTTTTCACATGCCCCCGCTGTTCCTAAGTTCCCTTGGATGCCTGGTGAGTCAAGCCCTACATATCACTGTGTCATGCTGAAGTTCAGAAGAGGGGCAACAGCACAAACGAGAAGTCACGCCTGACGCCCTTCTGTCGGGCATCGCGTTCATGATCCA